ATATAGGAAAATAAGGAGTATAATGCCACATTGGGTGACTAGTAATAGTAGCACAAATGTAATTAGAAACTGTACATTAATTGTTCTGTAAAAAGGCGTTTATCATAACTAATAAAAGTTTCTACGTTGGCAATATAAAAAAAAAAAAAAAGAATTAGATTAATAAAAATGTTATACAATTTTTATAAAATTACAAAATTAAAATTTTTGTTCAATACACTCTTTTTGCTATAGAGGTTCTTTGTAATTCAAAGTTAGTTTACATATATTGGTCTATAAAATATTAGCTAGTTTTAGGTTATATACAGTATAAGTTAATATAAATCACATATCAGATACTAATAGTTTACTAATATTTTTGATTTTAACTAGTGTATATACAGTATTACTAGCCAGAGATGCCAAAAAGTTTTTATTTTTTTAGATTCGTAACAAAATCATGCCCTAAAATAGGAATCCGCTATTTTTATATGTAGATCAACCAATCAAAATTATAAAATTTGTTTATACAAATCAACTCAAAAAAGTCTATAAAACTACTCTTACCCTAACACTAAACTAACTCTAACCCTAATTACAATTAAAATTTTAAAAATTACATAGGTACAAGGCTTTAGCGATCTCTCTAAAATAGCAGTTAGTTAATAATAAATAAATTAATTTAAATATGAAAAATACAAAAAAATTAATTTAAAGATAAATAAAATTAATTTAAATACAAAAAAATTAAGTACAAAAAAATATTAAATATGAACTGAAAAAAATTAAACCTGAAAAAAAATATATATATGTGAAAATAAATTTAATATGAAAAAAATAAATACGAAAAAAATTAAATACAAATTAAATACAACTCCCTCTCATTATAGGAAACACTCATTATAATGAAGATTCAATATAGTGAAGAATTTTTGAATTCCAAAATTAGTAATACCAACTCGATATAGTGAAGTTGCATTATATTTTCTCAATATAAGCTATAGTGAAGATTTTTTTTTCTTAGTCCGAGGACTTCACAATATGAGAGAAAATTGTATGAAAAAAAGAAACAAATATGAAAAAGAAATAAATATCAAAAAAATTAACTGTTAAATACAAAAGGAAATTAATTGCAAAATATGAAAAAAATTAACTGTAAACTGTTAAATATGAAAAAAATTAACTGTAAACTGTTAAATACAAAAAAAAAATTAAATACAAAAATACAAAAAAAATTTAAATATGAGAAAAAAAAAATTAAGTACAAGAAAAAAGATTAAATATGAAAAAAAAGTTTAAATATGAAAGAAAAATTTAAATACGAAAGAAAATTTAAACACGAAAAAAAAATTAAATATGTATGAAAAAAAAATTCGAAAAAAAATTATGAAAAAATATAATGAGAATGATCATTCAATGGGAACGTGGGGGAAATTAGTAAACCTGTTTAACATAACCCCCCTCCCCCCTCTAATTTTTATACATACGTACATACGTACGTATGTAAAAAAAATACGATATTAACCAATCAAATTATAGTTTTAGTTTATAAATTTTTTTAATTTTTTACAGCCAATAGAATTGCAGTGTTTTTGATTTTTTTATCCCCTCCATAAAATATTTTATGGTATGTTAAACAAAAAATCCGCCTAATTACCAATTCTGTAATTTAATTTTTTTTTTTACCGGTACAGTAATATTTTAAATTTCATTATTATATATCGATATATATATTTATTTATTTATTTATACGTACGTATTTATAAAATTTAATTATTGAAACTTTTGCATGGCCACCACATTTATAAAATTTATTAGGCTCGGTCAGGCTCGGGCTGGGCTGTGAATCCAATGCAGGCCTCTACTATATATTATACTGTATATGCATAGCTAATCATGTGAAAATGAAAAAAAACGGCTAATAATCTAAAATGCTGAACTAACTCGCTTATACCCCTAATACAGTGACAAATTTAGCTTCAGCCAATTTCAGCCTTAGCCACCGAGATTACAGAATTAAGAAATCAACTAAAGACTCATTACTACTTTTGGCATATATTATTATATTAATCTAACTTAACTACGTATACTCACTAAACGAATATTTTTGCCAATCTTTTCTGCTGAAAGTTATAATATATAATAAAGCACCTGCAAAATTGACGGTGTACAATACCTTAATTTAAAAATTTTATTAACAAAACTAACAAATTAGATATAACGTAAATGCTTTAATGACCAATTTTTTAATTAAAAAATACAAACTATTAACAAAAATTATTGTAATATAAAAATGTTGTACGTACAGTACGTTCTAATGAGAATCGTCCCAATGATGTTATGGCTTAAGCCGTAACTAGCTAAAACTTATATCATGACTACTGGACTAGTTACAACTCACCACCCAAATTTATTTTAATGAGCATCGTTTCATTACGTCATTCTTAATATGAAACGAAATTCGTCAAAAATCATATTGTATGAGCTGAAATAAATTTGGGTAGTTTACAATCCTATCGCATCACGTACGTACGTACGTCAAATTGAAATTTGCAAATTTCAAGTACTGTTTCATTAGGGTTAGGGTGAAACCCTATGTTATGTAGGGTAAGGGCGGCATTATGATTATTTTTGACGTAAGTACAACATAACTTATACATTGTATATTAAGTATTACAAAAACTGTAAAATTGACATCTATCAGACAATTTAAGCATGTATCGTTACACGCATATTGTTAAGTGCATAGTGATAGGTGCAAATTCTTTATTAGATATGTGTAACAAAAATACGCATACACTTTTCAGCTAGGATCATGCGAAAAAATCTTAAAATTACATAATACGTGACAAATCGCGCGATTATAGCTGTATGGCGTTTTATATTGTATCGATCGTTAGCTTGATCACATCCAAGATTGGAATTATAGAAAACGTCCCAGATGAGAATTATTTTTTTGTGTTTAAAATTCTTATTATATTGACCAGAATTAGAATTTTAAGTTAAAGTTAGTAATTAGAATTAGGGTTTAGACAAGATTCTCATCCGAGACAAATTCCAATTTTGGGAGTACAACATATATATATCCAGTGAAATAAAAACCGCGCTAATGTATCAGTATGTATCAGCATGTATTTAATTAAATGTAATCAAAAAAGGCATTTTCATAGAACCTTTTTGTAAAAGATCATATGACATAACATAAACGTTTATTTTTACTTAATTATTAAAAATTATTATTTTTTTTTCTAAAGTATTTACAAATTTGTTGAAAAGATTTCTATATGCTGAGGAAACAAATTCCTCAGATGAATTCATATATGGTACAAGTGTAGTTTGTGTTTGTTGTTTCGTATGTTTAAAAAAAAATTCTAATAATTTTGACGAATAAAAATGCAAAATAAGTTAGTGTAATAGGGGTATATAAATATGCGAATGAGAAATATAAATTTGCGATCAACGCAAAAATCCGAATCGAAATTTTTTGTTTGTGTTTGTGATTTATGCGACGTGTACTATTAATTAATTATTAGCCAATGATTTTTTTTTTTAAAAAAAATAACGAATTTACGAAAATAAATATCTATTCTATTTAATAATATATACCGAATCTTGCCGAATTTGAGAAAAAAAGGGTCAAGAAAGGGAATTTAAGAGCAGCAAACTCCTTTAAGACTATCCATCATTACTCCTGAAGCGAAAATATCGTTAGGATAATAACCCCAAGAGTCAGAATGTCCACCGTCAACGGAAATTCCTCTATAGTCACCAAAAGAAGTTGGCAAAAATTTTGAAGGAGCAAAGGAAAAGGAAACTGGATTTCCCACATTTACAGCCCTTGAAGGATGCTTTGAATTATGCTGAGATGTGGATTCTTGAACAGGTTCATAAAGATTATCCTTAATTATTTGAGTATTTAGTTCGATACGAGCTTTTTTATCCTGTTCCAAGTAACCGCGATGTTCACGATAAATGTTAACGGAGCTGAGTTCTTCATAATCCATACGATTGCGATTCAACAACTGACTATTGTTGCGAATGCGTGAAGTGCGAATAGTGGACTTAGTGGTGGTCATTGCTCCAGTCTTTGAATTCATTTTTTTAAAAAGCTAGTAGTTTTTTGAAAAGGACTGATAAATCAAAGTTTCCTACTAATGAGATTCGTTACAACGAACTAATGAAAGGTTGTGCGCAAATTCGAGTATTTATACTTTTGTCGATAGCATGCTTTTTTTTTAAAAAGGTCAAATGATAGTGTTTCACATTGGGTTAGATTAAAAAACGCATAAGTACATCAATACAAATTAAGAATGAGATAAAATTAGATAATTCACTAAATGAGGAAAGTAATAAACCGTATGTGTGATAATTTTTATTGAAAGTCTGTCACAAAGCATAAAATATTGTGCCACAAATCTAATTTTATCCTCACCAGCCACAAACATACATACACATTTGAATGAACTCCGAAACAATGGAAATTCGTCCAACCCCGATACTCCTTTTAATTTGCCGACGGTTATTTTTGGAAAAGGTGGTAACCTAAACCCTAATCCCATGTTTGTAGATCGCAATCTAAAATTAACTCTAAACTCATTGATGAAATGGGGTATTAATAATCAAATGAGGCGATAATATAAACGGTAAAGGTTTGTGCCGTCCCTTACCTACCTACCTCGGAAAGACGTACGTAAGTACGTACGTACATAGAATTGAATAAAAATTAAATAAAGATAACAATTATTGATAGTTTTCGCGTAAAACAGTATATATGTGATGATTTGAAATACGTTTATAATAACTATAATAAAAAAAAATTTTTTTAAATTACATAAGATTTTATTTTATGCACTTCTAGATCTCTCTCCAAATTTTCTATTTGTAAGCCTGGCCATTAGATTCCACGATTTGTGTTACATAGATATTCTCATACTCTACGCCATATTCATTTACTCTGCATTTGTGTTCTTTTCGTGGTAAAGTATTTCCTGGTCTCGACTTTACTTAATCGTTATCATACCTCCCCTTCAATGAATAAATACTTGGGGGCGTTGCCAAACTATTTTCCAATTATAGTATTATTTTGTAATTATATTTCTTGATTCCATATGTATGTAAATTTTACGTGAATAACACCTATAAATTAATTAATATATCTTAGTTATACGTATAGATTAAATCTGTATAACGATAGAGCCGCTGTAGATTATCACTATATAAATTGAATTACTCCTCTATCAAAAGTCCTTTTATGTTTACGCCGGTTTTCTGATTTAATCGTTTAATCGTTATCGTGAGGTAGACTATTAGTAGAAGTTTCTAGTAAAAATTTATATACTAACGTATTTAATTAATTCAGTTGATTTATTATAGAATAATCTAGAGCTAGGTAACTATACAGTTTTGTTAGTTCTTCGCAGTTAAATACAATCTATCTTTTTTATCGGATTATGCTTTCAGGAAGATTGTTTTTTTTATTAAACTGTAGATGTTTTCGATTGGATGTATGTAAATCCGCCCGCCTTCAATTGAACAAAATAGATTAGGTCACTGACAAAACGTTCTCTGGCTTTTTTTTTTTTATTTATAAAAGGAAAATGTGGATTTGAAAGTGGTTTAAATATAGTCATAATTTATACTTTTCTATACGATGTGTTGGATTGCTTCACATGTTCAAGTAGAAATTTTAAAAATTTGATAGATACATTATTTTTGTGATGATGAAATTGATTGAGAGGCACATCAATAAAAAATAATAATGAGCCTCCTTGTAATGAACTCAATACGTATGACAAACCTTAAATTTCATTATTAGTTCGTCATTAAGCATTTTCTGTATATTTATTTCAACATACAATGAAACTTTTTTCTTTACCAGAGTTATATTTATGAAATTTATTTATTTTTTTTTTTGCTTTAATTGCTTTAAAACAAATAGCACTAATTACTAAGTTTTGATTTATTATAGAATAAAAGCAGCCAAAAATTGGTGATTTTTTGTGGTCTAAGATAGTATTTATATCCTGGTCTAGTTTTATTAGTAAAAAAATACTTACTGTCAGATCTTTGACTCTAAATCGGTTTATTCGGTAATTTAGACATCGATATAAGAAGAAAATGAATACATATTTTTGAGTTTTGGTTTTTATATTTGATATTAAACCTCTAAAAACTGTTAAATACTTGAAAGAGCGAAAGAGGTTATTTAAAGAATAATTACAGTACTATAATAATCGTCTATATAACTTCTACAATTATTTCAAAGAAAATATTCATATCATTATGTGTAAGCAAAAGTTTACTAGGAAGTGCTGTACAATTGATCGGGCAGCATATATAAATAGCCGATCATAAATTTTCAATTATAACATACCTAATACACGTCACTCTGGTTATGCCGACATCTGGATATAACGACAGCATAGTAAAATCTTTCTATACCGACATTTTTTTCCAAAAATTTAATATAAAATGTCGGTATAATTCACTGTACCGACATTTTGAATTTTTTTATTAATGTCTCAAAAATGTCGATATAACCAGAGTGACGTGTACTATATATTTAAATTTTTAATTTTTATAAAATTGTAATATATATAGCATATAATATAAAATTCAGTATATAATATATATATAATACATAATACAGTAAGTAGTAGTAGGTGTATTGCTAATATATAGTATATAATTTTAAACTATTCTAGTGTTTCAACCCGCCTAAAAAACATGACCCGGGTAGATCAACGGGTCCACCGGGTATCCCGTTTGACCGGGTAGATAATAACTTTACATAAAACTAATACAGTTTTAATTTTTATCTGTAAATCATTAAAGATGTAATAATGAAAGTTGGCATCCTTTATATAAGCTATCCCTTAAACCATCCATTTTAGTAGTAAAATTTTTAAGCAATTTATAAAATTTGCTTCTGATTTATCTTTGCTAAAAATCAAGTTATGTTAAAAATATTTTTTAAATATTTTTTTTTTTTTTTTTTATATTCGGCAGTCTTGTCTTCACTTTATTAGGCTTTGTAATAATTATCTAAACTATTAAAATTTTCTACAGAGTTATACTCTATAGTACCTAAATTACAAGTAGAGACTCACCTAGTTGCTCACTGAGTACCTATGTGCGACCTGCTATAATAAGATTTGCCTCTATATTATTTTATTCTGCAATTGGCTTCAATAATATATCACCAGCCGGATCTTACTGCCCGTCAAGACTACATGTTAATTTTTTACCAATCTGCCTGTTGTCCTTCTTTTATCCACCTTAAAACCTCTTTTTTCGTTATCTCTAAAATTGAATCTCATCTTCTTTATTCTTGTTTTATTTCTTTTTCCTAGTATGTTTATCTGGTGGTTTCTTCTTCTTTTTTACCTTTCTGTGCGATCTTCTTTTATCTTTTGGTGCGATTCCATTTTCTTTCTTCCATTCTTGTACTAGTTTGCATCTTGCAACCCATATTCTCTTGTAAACTTCCTTTATCTAGTTTTTCCAAAGTCTACCTAGAAAGCTTTTTGTTTGATTGTTTGAGTTAAAAAGCGGTCTCAACTTGTCAAAGTCTTCTTTTGTGATTAAGCCTCTGATCCATCTTTCTTTTCTATGTGATTCTTCAGTTTGGGATCCCTTTTCTAGCATTATTAAGACTTCTTTTTTGGTTGTCTCCGTGCTTTCTACCTTTTTTAATTTCAAAAGGGTTGCTTCTACAACTTGCTCCTCTAATTCGTGGAGAAGGTTCAGAAAAATTTCGCAGCTCACCAAGTATTCTACATTCTCTTTCTTTTTTTTACATATCATACATTTGTCTGATTTGTATGTTTCCAGCCTTCTCTGATTGAGTTTCTCGAACACTAGAAACATATTGTTTATACACTTTATTTCAAAGAGCTGTAACATATTTGATTTGAAAGTATAGTTTCATTGTCTAGTTCCACTTCTCATTATATTGTGCAGCATGGACCAAGATTGAGTGCTCTTTCTTTCTGATGAGTTTCATCATGCGTATTATGTAAGAAAGCCCATTCTGCTTTCAATAGCACTCTTCTCAACATTTTGACGAAGGAACAGATAGGCTTTTCAACTAATTTACCTTCTCACATATATCTTATTTTGTGGCCTTTCGTATATAATATTTCTGGGTTTAGATACTCCATTGACTTGGAACCTTCTTTTGCTTTCAAATCTGCAAGATCATTGAATATATCACCTGAGTGACCCTTAATCTTTATAAAGTGTGTATTGAGCTCTTTTGTTTTGATCACCTCTACAATTGTTGTTACTAAACCACAATTTTTAGTTTTTAACCAAGGTCTTATCTTGTCTGTTTCCAGGCCTCTTTTGATTGCCAATATTGCTGCTTTACTATTTGTCCTTATCTCTACTTTTCTTCCCCGGAGTACAGTTAGTAATACAAATAATATTGCTACTATTTTTGCTCTTGTAGATGAGAACCACCTTTTTGTCGCACAAGATATTTGTCGCAAAAGCTGACCTGCTTCTGTGGTTTGAACTATTCCACATTCTATCACTAATTTTTTTTCCTCCTCAGCAGTACCAAGTGAACCATCTGTATAAAAAAATAAACTATCTAATTTTCTATTTTGTTCTAAACTTTCTGCTATTCTAGATCTAATTACATTATCTCGAACTATTCTACATCAGCAAAATATATAACCGTAATCTTACGTAAGATATTACGGCCTGTAATATTGTGCAAGAATTACGGTCTGGGCATAATATTGCGCAATTTATTACGGAATATTACGCAATTTATTCCGGAATATTGCGCAATTTATTCCGGAATATTGTGCAATGTATTACGTAATATTACGCAAATTATTCTGAAATATTATGCCGAGCATTGTAATTTAACACTTGCGAACCTCTACGATATCACATGATCATTATTTATTAATGTGATCAATTAATATATCACTATATATTCTGTAATATTTACGTATGTATTACTTTATTAACATAATCAATTAATATATCACTTATGTTCTGTAATATTTACATATATAAAAATTTATTATTTATTTTACATATTATGTAGAACGATTTTAAATTAATAGCCCCTCTAACCATAAAGACTAAAATTATTCTAATCCTAGCTCTAACCCTAAAGTCAACCCAGGTTCTAACAACTATTTTGAACTACACCAATACAAAATCACAACAGTCAATAACAACACAAGACAAAAAAAACCAATAATATAACAAGATATGATATGAAATTGTGCTAAGGAAGGTTTCAAAACAAGCACCTCAATTTTCATAAACATTCTAGAAAACAAGAAAAATACTCTAAATTCTTAAGCCCTAACCTACCAGCCTTGTTGTAATGCCTTCGTCAGCCAAAACCAACATACAAGAAGCAAAACTTAAATGATATAATTCATCAAGGTACCAATAATGAAGCCAAGAAGATGATATACAACTTACCAAAGTATCAACGACAAAGCTGAAACGATGATACACAGTTTACCAAAGCACCAACGATGATACACAACTCAATGACAAGAAACCAAAACGACGACATAAAACTCACCAAGGCACAAACAACAAAGCCAAATAATGATTTACCAAGGCACCAACGACGAAGCTGAAACGAGAATTTATCAGGACACCAATAACGAAGTTGAAATAACGATACACAACTACCAAAGCACTAACGACGAAGCCGAAATGTTAATTTACCAAGGCACCAACAACAAGAAGCTGAAACGATAACATACAACTCACCAAGGCACCAACGACGAAGCTGAAATATCAATTCACCAAGGCACCAATGATGAGAAGCTGAAACGACAATACACAACTTCTCAAAGCACCAACGATGAAGCTGAAATGTTAATTTACCAAGGCACCAATGACGAGAAGCTGAAACGACAACCCCAAGGCACCAACGACGAAGCCAAAATGTTAATTCACCAAGGCACTAATGACAAGAAGCTGAAACGACAACACACAACTCCCGAAAGCACCAACGACGAAGCTGAAATATTAATTCACCAAGGCACGCAATGACGAGAAGCTGAAACGATGACATACGCACCAACGACGAAGCCGAAATGTTAATTTACAAGGCACCAACAACGAAGCTGAAATGACAAAGCTAAAGTGACTATAACTGACCTAGTACCAAATTCAAGCAACGGCTCCAATAATAACGACAATCTAAGACTAACAAAAAAAATATATATATTAGAACCACATTGAAACAAAAAAAAGTATAAAAAAAATTAACTGATTTAATCAGTTGATAATCACTATTTATATCCGTGATTTGATGTTATACAAAAAATTGGATAATTCTTAAAATCTATATTGTAAAACGCAATGAAGTTTAATTTTCGTTTAAAATTTAGAATTTTCAAGCTATAGCTTGAAACCTAGAATGTATTGTTGAATCAGGCAGCTTTATAAATATAA